GACGTTTACTGTAAATCTTTCTACGACAGACCAACGGACCACGAGTGCCCCTGTCGGTCAACCAATCACGTACCGTGGTACCGCGCGTCATCGTGTGTCACAATGCGCGAGGCCGTAGCCAATTACCTCCGGTACGTGTGTGTACCGCGCACTTTGAATGGCTGCATCTGTATATATTGATTTTAACATATACATTGTAGTTAACCCTCAAAAAGTAAGAGGAAAATGTTTTAAATTTGTAACTAAAAAATGGTAAGGACCAGAGACACTATTCCTTTCCTAACTTTTAATTTTACTAACAACATGTAAAATTATACCCACTTGTCCCTGAATTGTTTTTATTTCTGAAAGAGTACTCACTGAGGGTTCAAAAGCACTGTTCACAACATGGAGAGAACGATTGGACAGGTCAAAACCTCCAAAGCTGCATGTTCTCTGTAGAAAATAAATGAACACATATGATATCCGATAATGTTTAATATCATACAATTACACTTCATGCTTGAGATCATAATATGTTTAGTACGGTCTCAAAATCTGTGAATTAAAATTTGCTAAATCACTTATTCACAATTCGGTTTGGCCAATGGGGTACTGGATGGAAGAACAAGAGAAAAGGATAGTTGAAGGTTGTTAAGCGCAACTTTCACATTAGCTACAGGACAGATCGGGAGTGAGCCTCTCTCTGCCCTCTGCCCAAGTATCCACATCTCAGTGTGGTCTTGTTACTGTATTGAATTGAACAATCCCAGTTCTCTGTTGGCAACATGAGGAATGACAGGCTGGAAATAACTTTACAAGCCCACTTGACTATTTCCCTTTTAATTTAAGTGGGGTATGCTAATCATGGAACTGGGAAAACAGAGAGAGAAAGTGCAAGCATATGTGGTGTAGAGGAGGGATTTAAATTGTTTATGCAGTTGATTGCTATCTGTTTCTCATTACTGTTTTCTGTTTAGTTAAATAACAATGTTATTTAATTTAATTGAAGCCAAATAATTAGTACTTAATTAGCATATACGGGCTTGTTACTTATGTCTTTTAACGTACTTTTACTACTAGTAAATTATGCAACATTATAGGGGTGATCTTGGTTATATGCAAATTTGGTTATTCACAATGGTTCTCTGCGCTGAATCCTCACAGATGTTGAGACCCAACTTTACTTTTACCCATTGTATTTCAATGACAGCTATATACAGAAACACCACATTCATACACAACTACAGAAAGACCACTGAGCTTGATATCAGTTACAAAAATAGAGTATTAGCAGCAATGATGCCAAAAAACAGATAATTTATCTGTATACATATGCCTAATAACAAATGGGAGATAGGTATTTTTGTCTTTTTTTTCTAAGCCTTGTTACAATTATATTTAGACTGCAGAAATTGACAAGTCTCCCATACTCACTTCCTAATACCGTACATTGAGAAGTTTGCTGGCAATTTGTAATGGCTTAAGCTAACATGAAAGGGCTGTTAGCAGCATTTTATATTTCTTATAAAATGTGGGGCAGAGAAAAGCTGGGTGATTTATAATAATTGGGAAAAAAAGAAAATTAACCCTAATTGAGATAGCTTTGACCTCCAGAAAAACAGAATGATCCCTCATCTCTTAAGAATAATAGGTATCAGAAATGTAAAGAGGAAACCAGAGATGTTGTCTTGGCCAGAGGCCTTTGGATTTATGAAGATATTGCCTTTATGACTCTTTTAAAATTAAAAAATTCCAAAAACTAAGATAAGCACAAAAGAGAGTATATTATTATTTCTGTTCAAATGCCAACAGAAGTCTACTTCTTTCGGGCTGAATAAATCAGAATAGGAGTACTGTGGGTCCATGTCAGGCATTACATAAATGTCACAGCAGAAGAATGAAGAAAAAGGTATATTGATGGGATGTTAGATATTCAATGGAATGGCCATGCAAATAGAAACAATTCCACCAAAAAGGAAAAATTCTGTTAACATCAATTAATCATGCAATTCTGTTCACAAAACAGAAAAAAAATAGTAACCAAAATGAAAACTAACTGACCACTTCCACTGAATACAAAGTGGGCATTTTGGTTTCTTCAAGGCTGCAGAATAACACTGTCTCCACATTAGCAACATATTTTAGAGATCATAAGCAACAGAGGGTGTTAACTACATCCTGTACTTAAACCACATTCCTCAACATTTACATTAATCAGTGATGTGGGGTTGATTTAGAGGCTTTGCTAAGATTAAGGAATCATTTAAATTAACTGGGAAGACAAACACCTTGCTCTACCTTGAAATTGAGAAATTTACAAGAATTGGATCATCATCTGCCATATCATGTCTAAGTCTGAAATGCAGTACCTTCAGCTGAAATAACTTTTTAAATGTGATCTTAGAACTGGTTTTCTTAAATTTTTAAAACTTATGGAGAAAGGTTGCTGTGAAAAGATGGATAAGAAGAACAATACAATATTGGGTTTACTATTCACTGTGACTGAAATGTTTCTTCACTTCCTAAGCATAACATCAGTACCCATGAAGAGTTTAATTTCCTCATGCTACAAAACAGTCAGATACATTTCAAGGTGATTGGTGGTGATTGTCCACAGGTACATAACTCAAGTTCTTTTGTGCACTTTAGAATTTTCCTGTTCAACCAGGTGCATTTAGTATTTAATGTCTTAAAATTGTTTGATATCTGTACAACTTGGGTCTCTTGAACAAACCACCCAGCTATATACAGTAGTTGAAGCAAATTCCCTGGCATCCTTTAAGAAATGGCTGAATGAAATCCTTGGATAATAAGCTACTAGCAATAAAAAGAGAATGATGGCCGATAGAGACTCTTCTCTTTTGTAAACTTTCTTTTGACTAAAATCACCAAAATCTACATAAAAAAGAAAAGGAACTTATTTTGCAGCCTTGGAAGAAAATAAAAAACCCACACTTAATAAGGGAGGTCCAGAGGGCCTTCTCCTCACAGACTCACAGACTTCTGCTGAATGCGCAAGAGAACACGTTTGGTACAGTGGTCCACAGTCGCTGCCCACTTCCTCTCTGCCTCTCCCTCTTCATCTAACAGGCAGCGGCGTAGATCCTGCAAGTCACCTTTGCTCATGGTCCTGTCCACGGGCCGTACAAGCTGGGACCAGTGGAGGTGTCCATAAAGGCTTCTCTCGACCACATAGGTTATATTAAACTCATTGACTGCAGTCCTCGTTCTCAACTTGCGATTGGGAAACCCCCATCCACCACCAGCACTGCCCTTAGATTTCTCCCACAGGAGCTGGAAGTCACAGTGGGCTGGAGAAGAGGGCAGAGGGACTGGCACCTTGTTGTGGGGGCGCTGGTACAATAAGTGTCTGAAGTAAGAGTAGTTGGCATCTATTTTCTTTAGCCGTACTTGCTTCTTGATACTCTGGAACTCCTCCAGGGACACCAGCAGGTGATGCTGTGGCCTGGCCATGCCATAAAAGCTGTACACATTTTCCCTACTTACCCCGTGGCTAAGTGGGCTCAGGACCCTGCGCATTTCGCCGTCTGTCATGGAGCGGGAGACTTTCTGCTGCAGGTCCTCCTCACCACAGCCCTCTACCTCAGAGAAGGAAGAGCCGCTGCCACCTACCACCCCACTGCCCACCTTCTTAAACGGGCGGATGAGGCCTTGGCTGCTGCTGGACTTGCCAAAGCTTTTGACCAACTTATGGCCCGTCCATGTGTCCAGGCTACTGGAGGAGGGAGAGGTGGTGAGGCTGTCTGAATCTCCATCCTGCGAGAGTTGCTCCTGGAGCAGCAAAGATAGTGAATCATCTTGAGGAATCGGAGGCTTCTTTTGCACCCCCGAATAAAGCGAAGAATTGTCTTCACATGTAGGGGATCCCTCAAAACACAGATCTGAAAAGGATCAAATAATTCATGTTTTAATTAAAACATTTACACTTTTAGACAGGCACTTTTGAACTAGGACTATAACCTATAGTAGATATACACATACATTATGGTTTGGGTACCTATGTATATACAGTGCCGTGAAAAAGTATTTGCCCCCTTCCTGATTTCCTCTATTATTGCATATTTGTCACACTGGATGTTTTCAGATCTTTAGACAAAATCTAATATTAGATAAAGGGAACCTGAGTAAAAAAATACACTTTTTTATTATTATTTCATTTATTTAATAAACAAAGTTATACTACACCCACATGCCCTGTGTGAAAAAGTAATATTTTATTAAGTATTATAAGTACACTTAAGTGCTACCTTTAGCTGCAATGACTGCAACCAGACGCTTCCTATAATTCAATACCAGTCTTTCAGATCGTTGTGGAGGAATTTTAGCCCACTTTTCCTCACAGAACTGCTTTAATTCAGTTAATTCGGTTTTTGAGCATGAACTGCTCACTTCAGGTCCTGCCACAGCATCTTTACTGGGCTTAGGTCTGGACTTTGACTAGGCCACTTCAAAACTGTAATTTTGGCTTCTTTTCAGCCATTCTGATGTGGTCTTGCTTTTGTGTTTTGGATCATTGTCTTGTTGCATGATCCTACTACGCTTTAACTTCAGCTCACGGACGGATGACCAGAGATTCCCCTTAAGAATTTTCTGATACAGAGCAGAATTCATGGTTCCTTCAATTATGGCAAGTCGTCCAGGTCCCAAGGCAGCAAAGCATCCTCACACCATCACACTACAACCACCATGTTTCGACTGTTGGTAGACACTTGCAGTTCTTTGGATGTTTAGTATCCTTTGTGACTTCCTGGATGATTTTATGCTGCACCCTTGAAGAAATTTTGGCAGGTTGGCCACTCCTGGGAAGATTCACTACTGTTAGTGGTCTCCATTTGGAGATTATGGGTCTCAGTGTTGTTCAGTGGAGTCCCAGAGCCTTAGAAATGGCTTTGTTACCCTTTCCAGACTGACAGATATCAACGAATTTTCTGATCTCTTCAGGAATTTCCTTTGATCGTGGCATAATATGCTTGTTGAGTTTTTGTGCTGGCAACTTGACTCTGATGGTAAGGGTCAAAATACAGTAAGTGAGGTTTATATTGAGCAGGGCTGGCTGTAATCAATACAATTATCCCTTTAATTGGGTTGATGTCAATTTTTCACACAGTGAAAGGCAATTACGTTTTCACACAGTGTCAGTTGGTGTTGGATAACTGTTCACTAACTAAATGAAATAAGTAAAAAAAAATGTTATTTGTTCACTTAGGTTCCCTTTATTCAAGTTTAGATTTTGGTTGAAGACCTGAGAACATTCAGTGGAAACAATTTGCAATAATAGAGGAAATCAGGTAGTTTCTAGTAACTACAAAGACAATTAAATTAATTGATTATGAATGATAAGATGAATTCACATTAACAGGATGTTAATGTTTGGTGGCTCATTTTACAATTACTTCAGGTCACTTTCTTATAATGGAGACATACATTTTGCTAAAAAGGCCTTCCTCCATATTGAGGAGACTGTAATTTTATAATTGTAACTCAGTAGTGTTAATTACATCAATATATTTGAGCTATAGATGTGGACATTACCCACAGACTGACCTTTTTGATCCTCTATAAAAGGATAGAATGGGGAATTAGTGGCTATCAAAAGTATTTGGTCAGATCAGATTTTTTGTTGTAATAATGTGGACTCATAATGCATTTAACTGTACATTTTTGCCATTGATCGACACAAAACACTCTACAATGTCAACGTGAAAACTAAATTCTACATATCATCCTACATTAATTATAAATAAAAAACAGAATAAAATAACCAACAGCATAAGTATTCACCCCTTTGCTATGACACGCGTAGATTGGCTTTGATGCAACCAATAGTCTTTAGGTTCCCATGAGTTCAGGTTAAATACACATAATTCCCACAATTAATTAATACAGCTCTCAAAAAAACGACATCATGAAGATCATGAAGAAAAAAGAATATTTAAATCAAATTTGGGATAGGGTTATTGAAAACCAATTAGGGTATAAGAACCTTTCAGAGGAACTGACTAAACCCCAAAAAACAGTAAAGACCATTTTAAAGAAATGGAGAAAATATGGCACAACTGTGAAGCTGTGCAGAAGTGGGCATCCTCAACAACTCAGTATCTGGAAGAGAAGGGAAGTAGTCAGGGAGGCCACCAAGAGGCCTATGACAACTGTAAAATAATTACAGTTTTCCGTGGCTGAGATGGGAGAAACTGTCCATACAAGACAGGAGAGTGGCAAAATGAAAGTCCCTTTTTTTTTGTTGAAAAAACTCACCAAATCTAGACAACAGTTTTCCAAAAGGCATGTGGAAGACTCTCAGTGAAAAAATATTCTATTGAGATCAACACTGACCATTTTTGGCTTCAATGCAAAGTTATACATAACCTATTTTATGGTACAAGTATAACACCGCATATCATCCTGAGACCACCATCCCTTTGTGAAGCATGGTGATGGTAGCATCATGCCATCCTTTGCTGCATTAAGGCCTGGAAGACTTGTGAAGGTAGATGGCAAATTGTATGCAGTAAAGTACAGACAAATCCTGGAGGAAAACCTGCTGCAGTCTGCAAGAGACCTGGGACAGGGGAAATGATTAATTTTCCAGCACGGCAGTGACTCAATACAGCCAAAGCAGCAACACTAGAGTGGCTTAAAAATGAAAAAGTAAATGTTCTAGATTTATTCCATGCTGGAAAGAGAAGAGAGAAAACACAACTTTTCGGCTGGGAAGGCTTCTCACAACTGAAGAAGGCTTCACTCCTGAAACGTTGCGTTTTCTCTCTTTTCTTTTCAGCATGGAATAAATCTATTACTTGTTCCTTTGCAGACTACGCACGCTGACGCAGCTGCCCACTTGATTGTTCTAGATTACCAAATCTAGACCTCAAACCAATAAAGAATCTGTGGCAAGACTTGAAATTGGTATTTTCAAGAAGAATAAAGTGTCCAGATGCGCAAAGTAAAATTGTATCCAAAAAGACCTATGACTATAGATTTTACCAAAGGTCCATCTACCAAATATTGACTCAATAATAATAATTGCTTACACTTATATAGCGCTTTTCTGGACACTCCACTCAAAGCACTTTACAGGTAATGGGGACTCCCCTCCACCACCAACAATGTGCAGCATCCACCTGGATGATACGACGGCAGCCATAGTGCGGCAGAACGCTCACCACACATCAGCTATTAGTGGGGAGGAGAACAGAGTGATGTAGCCAATTTATAGATGGGGATTATTGAGGTGCCATGAATGGTAAGGGCCAATGGGAAATTTTGCCGGGATGCCTTGGTTACACCCGTACTCTTCTTGGGATTTTTAATGACCAAAGAGAGTCAGGACCTCGGTTTTATGTCTCATCCGAAGACGGCGCCTGTTTACAGTATAGTGTCCCCGTCACTATACTGGTGTATTAGGACCCACATGGACCACAGGGTGAGAACCCCCTGCAGGCCCATCTAACACCTCTTCCAACAGCAACCTTAGTGTTTCCCAGGAGGTCTCCTATCCAGGTACTGACCAGGGTGACACCTGCTTAGCTTCAGTGGGTTGCCAGTTGTGAGTTGCAGGGTGATATGGCTGCTGGCCTCAAGAAATCAGTACTTTTATTTTCTGTTATTTTTATGTTATGTTTCTAACTAATTTAGGAGGATCTGTAGAATGTGGTTTTCACTTTGGCTTTATGGGGAGTTTTTTTCAATGGCAAAAAATCTCAAATACAATACAATTCCATATTGTAACACAATAAAATGATTGCCACTGTACATATGCTCAGGGGAGGGCACATTAGACTTTACAATAATATACTAAGTGCACCACTTCTCAAACTAGACAGCTATATAAAGAATATATACCTTCTGTGCCTGTTTTTTTCATCTCTTCCACTCTGATCAGCTTCTTCCTCACTCTTCGAGTGGAGTTCACCAGCTTGTGAAGCCGTTTAAACTTCACTGATTCGTCTGTTTCATCCTCAGACTGCTCCCGTGACTGAAAACAGAATCACATTTTTATCAGCATCCACAAACTCCAGAATCCTGACAAGAAGTCCTTATATCCCCAGCACTGAACTGAAAATGTCATCTTTCTAGGAAAAAGGAATGCAAGTAACAAAATCAGTAAAAACCTAAAATTATCTTTACAAAAAAATGTAGGAAACAAGGATCTGAATGGAACTCTTTCACTTACTATGTTTTACATGTTTTAATTATAAAAGATGTTCAGGGGAGATTTTCAGCAAAATAAAGCGCAATCAATGAATAGTTGTACAAGGTAAAATTATGAAATTACAAATTGCTCAAAGGACTTTAATCTATAATGCTTTCAGCATAGAAATCTTTCATTTAAAGAATTCCACTAATGACGCAACACTTCACTTACAATTTCACAGTATTTTGAAAAGGATCACCCAAAGTTTCCATGGATATAAATGTTCCAGATAGTAGTGTCAATTCATTTTGGGTGGGAGTGCAAATGTCTGTATTGGTTGGTACCCCGTTACCATAAAAGGGACTTTCATTGTGCCAGTACAACTGATTTTGCTACACAAGAGGGGTGCCAACAGGTTTACACTGATGATGTTAAACATGTAAACATGCTCCTCAATGAAACAGGCTTCCAGAGAATGGATACCTGATAACAATTTGGGAATCTGGAATTTCCAGATAATGCCCAGCAGCACATGTTAACATATAGTATACTTAAAAGGGGCAATTCCACATTAAACAAAAATGGAAGAAGGAGAGGCAAATGAAGAAAGAGACAGGAGAAAGACAGCAAAAAGTAAGTTACAGGTTTACAACCCATCTTCAGAACCTCCTTGAGAAACTAAAAACCATCAGGTTGTGGTTACTCAAGAACTCAAGACTAAAATGTAGGGAGACTTACACTTACACGTGGACAGTCTACAAGGTTATGTAGGAATATTTTCATAAAATAATTAAAGCTCTAAAAGGTAAGGCTATCCTATAAACTGATGTTAAAAAAGACAACTGTTAGTCCATCCATCCATTTTTAACTGTTTTTACCAATTCAGGGTTGCGGGTAAGGTGGAGTCTATGCCGGAAAGCAACAGGAGCATGTCATGGTACAACCTGGATGGGACGCCAGTCAATCACAGGGCAGATGCACAAATGCACACACTACACAATAAGTACAAGCATCGTGAATTACATACTGTAGCAGCAGACTTTAGAGATTTTATAATCTTGTACATGCAATTTATATGCTATAATCTAAGAATACAAACACCAGAAATGGTTTGTAGTGCTACTGTACGTTTCTCTTCTCATGGTTTTCTGACTGAGTTTTATATCTTCAATGATATTAATTGTTTGGTATAAGGACTGCAGCAGTCACGTCACAACATTAAAAAAAGGGCTATGCTACTATGTTGTTCTCAGCATCCCTGTTCAAGAAGCCTGCACTGACAGTATTGTACGAGGAATGATGACAAAGTCAATTAAAGACCGAACAACTAACTCTAGGTCCGATCTATGAGAAACATTTGAAAGTGCCTATTAAGCCATACTGAGAAATTTCCATCGCTGGGACCATATGTCCAATTTTTTTCATTATTTTAGCAAAAGCTGAAGTAATTTTGTGGTTAATGCCTCAGTGTTTTTTTAGTGGTTTCCAGAGCAACATTACATCATATTGCAGACATCTGGCTCCACTGTTCAAGCCACAGCAAACCAGCCAACTCAGAAACCAGAAACGCAGTTAAAGAAACAGTAAGCCTTTTTGTTTTACAGCTATAAATAATTAAAGTAAAAAAAAAATAAGACCACAGTGCTGTCTTCCTATTTCCTATTATGAAAATAAGTAAAGGAATGAATTTTCATTTACATATTGTCCTTCCTGAATTCCCCAAAATGCTATCCTAGTACCTGTAGTCAAAACCCATTAATCCTCTAATGAGTTCAGACATTATTTTAGCCAATTGATGTGGGACTTAGCCTGTGAGAGGAATAGGAGAATGGGAAATTTTATTTAGCAAATAAAATGTTATAAGGGAATCTTGGTTTTGCCATAACACGAAGATTGCCACCCCTTGTTCCCTAAAAGAATGCCATGGGAATTTCAATAATAAATTATCTTGTCCAGAAAATTGTCTCATCTCAAACATGGCTCCCCAAAATACTGTTTTTTGAAAGTTCTTTTTTTGCATGTATTTATTTTGCTCAAAGAAATTCAGCTCAAAAACAGAAGAAGAACCTAATGTTCTTGACACATTCTGTCAAGGAACACACTTGCTGATGTTTGGAGGTCTGATCCTGGGTAGATGTAGCTGAATACACGGATACATGAGTACAGCTGAGAGTAAAACGAGACAAATATTTGGAGAAGAAGTCAGGAGCTAAATAAGCTGTTTCAAAGAGTATGGGTTCCTTAAACACGTTCTGTGCATCTCATTATGTATTTCACACTTTTATGTAACCTTCACACTTCTGAAAATTGATTTCTCAGAAGGGGTTAGAAGTAAATAAAAATCAACTGTCTTAAAAACTGCCTTACTGCCTTCGGTATTTCTTTTTCTGCAGCAGTATTATACCCTCATTTTCTTACTCTCAGTCATGCAACAGAAAGTTATTTTTACAACATGTATCATTTAGTCTAGACCAGATGCAACAGAGCTCCATTTAACAAACCAAGGGTTAGTCAAAGTATGGGGTAAAGCCAATACTAAACTCCATAAAATATGAAAAGATATTCTGGACTACATGACAGCCTAAGGAAGTGGTCTTGAAAAGAAGCAAACTGTCTGCCATGAATTTACTGAACTAAAGACTATACATCAAGTTAAATGCTAACAACTAAACCTGCAGAAAAAGTCTGCACAAAACAAGACTACAGAACATTGGTTCTTGAGCATAAGACAGGTCCACAACATTATCTGCATTATCAATAATGTATTAGGTATCCTGATAAGGATAATAAGTGGATCCAGGCTGAAATATTTTAATTGCGATTACTAGTCTTTAGTGCAATGTGCTGAGAAGGATTCAGTACAAGAACAAGCATCTTTATAATTTGACTTCTGAATCTGACAAGAATACTTGTTGCTGTGTTTATGAGCATACATGACTGTCGGGCTGCACTTCACCATTGTATCCAACTTAACTGTGCTCTTTTGAAATAAGGCTATTTAAATGTTGAAATGAGCTATTTTGATTGTCCATCATTTCCCTTCACACTTGTTTAAAGTACCTTCCATTTTAAACTGCATTACACACTGATTCTCAAGACAACCAAAAACTCCAAGAAAATTACTGTAAATGTGTGATCATTTTACACTTCATAACCACTCAGCATAGTGTGTACAGGTCACAAACCTTGACCCTGCATTAGACACAATGGGGACATTGCAGTTTTTTAAACTTAAGTACTGTTTTTATTTGGTTTCCATTTCTGTGAATAACCCAGGGTTTATTTTTAAAAAGATGTATTTTTAACCCTCTCTAGCAGCTGGAACTAAAATATTCAAAGGGACATGTTACACACTGTGTAACATCTGATCAGTCTTGTAAAATTGTTTTTTCAGAAATGGTTTTTGGGTCATTATGTGTATAGGTTAGGCATAGTTTTGCTTTCCGGGAAAAAAACAAAACAAGGTGAAGACTATAGTAATCATACATACTGTATATACATTACAAGCTAGGGTGCATACTGTACAAAATTAACAAGCTTAGACTGAGACCTGACCTAAAATTCCAAAAAAGTAAACAGCCAAGCAATGCAGCTTTGAAAGTGTTTATGCCCCATTGTGTCTATAACCAAAGCAAATAGTGCACACACATTTATTTATAAATTTAACCAAATCTTTTTCCCTAGACATTAGAAAGTACAGACAATGGAAGAAGAACAATAAAAGGCTCGCAAAATATTCTAACTGAAATTAATTAATTAAACAAAACTACTTATAAGGCTGTGTTTCTACTTTTACACAGTGTGGCAGCCTTATGCACTACAGAACAGGGCATCATTACATAAGAAAGAGGAATGAGGAAACTGAACTACATTGCCACCACTGGTATCATTATACCAAATGGCAGAAAAGTATTTCATGACAATACCAAAGTAAATACTTTATTAAAACTTTTCCCAAAATGTAATTTTGAAACAGACATTTTTTAGTAACAGTCAAGAAAGGCCATATAACTGCAAACATGCTACAGGCAGAAACAATTGCAAGTATAGTTCTCAAAATACTGTATTTGCATTTTAATATTGCAAATATTTGATACAAAAGCTAAAACATCTTTGTACACCTAAAATCATGAATTTCAAACCCAAAGTTAAGTTAAAATGTCCCATCAGCATCAAGAATTACTTGAAAGAGATTCCTTACTTACCACTTTTGGCATTTAGTAGATTACAGATTTTATCTCCCACGCAGCTTACATTTGTTTTCCATAAAACATTAAAACTCTAACATCAATAATAAGCACCACATTCAACTCCCAGTAAATTGCTTTCAAGGACCCACAACTAAGTTCACAGATAGTACAATTCAGTGCCTTGTGTATCCATGAAAAAGGGAGAAGATAAACTCATGTTCATTAACTACTTAACAGCAAATCATGCGAAGTACAGACATGCTGCCTTAATAGTAACAACCCAGATTGTCAGTGTACTACAAGTTTTCTATTCAAAAGCAGAGAAAAGGAGTGTTGTATATTGCAAACAATCCCCAGTTTCACTGACGAAGGCTATCTGACCTCTTTTTGGCCTCCATATCCTTAATTACTGTTGGAGGAATTTTTGCAGAAGAAAAAAGGAAACGCTGCAGATTCTTTGCTAGCCAAGTTGAGGTCTGACCCTGGAATACTAAGGCAATTGCAGATGCTACCACAAGTTGAAACACAAATAATTTAACTGTTTGGAGGCTTTAGATGATACAACCACTATGTAAGGGTGGGAAGTAGGACTTAATTGTCTTGGAACTTTCCATGTAAACTTAATGCAATTATGACAGTATTATGCAAAAA